ATATTCAAATGAAACAGAATTTTGATTTTTTGAAACATGCACACTAAGCGTGCTACCAATTGATAACATAACAACTATTCCCCTCAAAGGATCCATTGACCAACTAGTGCATGTGACACATAAAACATACAAACATAAGGAAATCAATGACAATTAATGTAGAAGATCATATTCACAATAATACCGAATCCAGTTAACTAGGTAAAAGAGAAAAATCAAAAAGGGAATTTTATTGAATTTCATGTTCTGTATCTCTGCAACTAACTCAAAACTTAAATGTGAAATGTCTTTTCTACGCTAGTATACCGTTAAGAACAAGATATAATAAAACAAAGACCAAAATTTATCAATCCACCCTACCTAGTAATCAAACCCTCCCCTCACGTGAACTCTTCTTTACGTTGTATCATGGCTAAAATCCCTTCATCCAGATACTCAGGATGTTGAAGCACATACCACAAAAATCAAAACTAGCATACCTAATTACTATCAACTAAAGAACTAGCTAGATTGTGTAGGAAACTGAAGAATGAAGGTTTTTTCCTCCATTATTTTCTAACTCACTGTAGTCCCCTATAGTATAAAATCCATGGGGAAAAAAAGTGAATTGGAATTTTAGAAAATGAGAGAATTTGCAAGATGACACTATTGCAGGAGCAAGGAGAATAACAAGAAAATCATGGAGGACAAGAAATACTAAAGAATGCAGCTATGGCGTCTATGACGGATGACAAGAATTGGGTCCGTATTTATAACATGGTGTTGAGTGCCATTTGTGTTGGCATACGATACTAGCATTGTCCATATCCACTGAATGGCATATTTTACCTAACAATTTCCATATAGAGTTGAATTAGGTGGTGAATACGCCATACTCAATTTGGAAAATTATTTCGTTATTTCTAACAATGAGTTTCGAAAGGAGATATATTAACTTATGGATTCGTCAATAATCTTTTAATTTAAATCGTATTCAACTTTACTTATAAAGGGAAAAGAAGAGTACTAATTATTCAAAAAAAATCATTGATCGTTTTAGTCAATTACGGTCAATAACGACTAACGGTTTTTGACAGTACAAAACTTGCGTTACTCTATGCGTGTACAAACCTTTCTTGAAAAAATTCATACGCCTAAAGGCGTTTTCCATAAAAGAAAATCATTTCTATGGAAATTACATAATATTACTAATTACAATATATACTATTGTCGACATCTCGTAGTGGCAGACCTTGGTGAGATTACTAGAACTTGTGATGTTTTACCTTTTTTTTTTTTTTTGTTGAGCATTTAGCCTGTTATTAACCGAAGAAAATAAAAAGAGAGGTCATAGATGGTAATTATATTTTTCTTTCCTAGAAAACAAAATTATCGTTATAGAAATAACATAACTATTTTTCTGTCAATAATTCATGCAATGTGTGTACTTATCACTTATATCCCATCCAAATCTAGCTTTGTATGGGAAAACGTTAGGTAAATTTGTCGGTGAATAGGATGTGGACAATGCTAATTAAGATGGTATATGCCCACACATTCACACAAGGGTACCTTTCCAAACGTTATAAATTGGGGAAAGGGTCCGGATCCCTTCCATCTAATTCTCCTCATCAAAAAATCTGAACCGTTAAAGTTATTATAACTTTTAAAGTAAGCCCATGTTTTTAGCCATTGGATCAAATTTCAAGGGCCTAGATGAGAGGATTAGGATGAAAGGGATCTGGAGACCTAGCTAATACTACAATATTGTTGCAAACTTCATAAAAACCCTAGCTATCCTGTAGTAGGTCGTCTTTTCTAGAGTGCCAATGGTATCGTCCTCAATATAATTACCACCTTTTCAATTTCATACTGCAAGAGAATAAAAAGTGCATTATAAGATGGAAGAAATATCCCCATTACTTTTAGATTTGTAACTAGAAGGAGAGTAAAGAAATACTCGTTGGTTTAAAATCTACTAAGAGTTTATCGGATCCATGACTTACCAAAACAAAGTATGATGTCTCTCTCAGAAAGTACACTCTCTTTCTCTTCTCTCCATCTGGTATTTTTGGTGCTTTCTAGTTTTCTTAATCCTAATGTTTATTGCTTTGTGCTTGAGGGGTGTAAACTTTTGGTTACTTAATCGCTACGTACTCAATTCTAGTGTGCTTAATTAGATGGTCTTTTTTTTTATCATATATATATATATATATAGCATATAAATCCTCAAGAACGATATATCAAAGCTCAGAGATCATCAATCGGAACGACGGAGTGCGTTCCAAAAATTCGAAAGCTCATCACCTCCCTTCAACCCTAAGATGACTTGTATGAGAGCACAAAAATACTGCTGATCAAGATGAGCATGTAAACAAGGTTTCATATATCACCATCCATGCACAAGTTCTTTTTCATTTCTTTATTTATTATTTTTCTCTAATATTCTTGTGTTGTTTGATAAATAAATCAGAACAACATATTTACTATTTGACAATTTTAATGATTTTATACCAGGTGACCTTCCAATGTTCCGAATCGTCTAATCATAAGGGAAATGAAAGGATGCAATCATGCAAACAAAAGAAATGAAGCAAGAGACCAGAATTTTGAATCAAGCATAACTCATGCTTTCTGTATTACTACATGTAGCTTAACATTACCTTTTACTTGGTTCTAATCAACAAGTAATTCTGTATATTAGTTGAATATATATACTGTCAAGTTTTGTATTTCCCAGCTGCTTTGCCTTTCAATGATATTATTCTGATAGAAGTAAATAAAAAGAACAAAAAGCAACACTATTATACAGAGTACACAATTAATCTATGTAATCTCTTTTTTTTTTTTAAATGAAGATACCATATATTTCATTCATGAAACGGGCAAATACAAAATTTAATACAAGAACATGACCCCTATAGAACAAAAATCTGAAATCATAACATTATAATCCCAGATATTTCAAGAGACTTAATGATACAAAGGATCCGTAAAAGTCAGTACTACAAGATCATATATATGTACACACGCGCGCGCGCGCACACACATATATATATAAGCTCTCAAAACTATGTAATCTTTTCGTTAAGGAAATTAAACTGGTGACTGACGGTGGAAGAACCTTTGCTCCATGATTAATCTTTTCGAGTGCTGACGTGAATATATTAGGTTATTTTGCAAATCATATCGGAATTTGTTAAGTTTAAAAAGGAATAAAAGAATGGAGGTAGGAGATGTCAACTAGCATGGTTAGCAACAACTTCAACATAGTCTTCTTTTACATTATTTGAGTAACGGTTGATAACGACCAACGGTTTTTTCAAAGTACAATTCTTGCATCACTCCATGGGTGTACGATTTTTAAAAAATTTAATACATGTATCTTAAATGCTTTTTCCATAAATGAAAATCATTCTTAATTATGGATTACATAATCATTTTTTCTAGGGTTAGAAATGAAAATTTCCTCTATTTTATGTATCTACCAACTAGAAGTGTGATTTTTTTTTTATGCACCCAATTAGCATGTAATTTAATTAATGCTAATAAGGAAATTGTTAGGTAAATTTGGGGCCAGAAGGATGTGGAAGCAATGCCAGAACGGTATGCCAAGTGGTAGCATATTTGGTTTTAATGAATTTTGTTGAATATATAAGAAGCCAAGTCGAATGAGAAGATAATAGGAAGAACCATAAAATGGTACTGCAAACAGCTAGCAGGTTAGGAGTACCGACGATTACTCGTATACCTGAGTCCATGAAGCTGGATAGAATGGGCTCGATAAGAGCGTCTAATTAGTTTAACAATCATGACTTAGTTTTTTATCATTTAGCTAATTTTTTCGTTTTTACATGTTTTTCTTTTTATATAACAACATATTTAGATTAAAGAGTAGTTTCAAACCTGTCATTTACAAAATTCCTTTTTGCAGGTGGTATATGAAGTTTTTCTTTGAGAATTTTAATGAAAAACTCCTGATACTGTTCATTTTAACAAAAAATTACATTTTTACACTAAAAAGTGTATTATTCACTTTACCCTTTATTTTGTCCTTATCGTTAAAACTCAAAGTTTTCAAATCTTTTTCATTAGTTTTTTTTTTTTTTTCTGCACTTTCATAGGTGGTATGAAGTTAACTTTAGTCCATCGGATTGGGGTTATGGGACAAAACACGTGACATATTTTTATATATTTGGGCTTGGTTTTAGTCTTTATCATGGAACTGAATATTCAATACTTGTCATTTTCTGAATCAATATTTCTTGTTCGGTACAAGGACAACACGATTAGATAATTATAATAAATCTGTCTAATTTATGGGTATGAATTCGAACTCCAGCTTATGGTCTTATTTTCTCGTAAAAGTAATCTGGGAACTTAATATTTAAAATCGATGGTTTATTCTGAAATAAATTGAGAGATGTGATTCAAGTATTTTAATTGCGGAAGAAAAACTTATTAACATAAAATTCATATTCAAAGCCTATAAAATTGTCACGAGACTGAGTCTTATTTTCTTATAAAATTCACTCTCTTACTACTACTACTACTACTACTATTCGTTCTTCCTTTGGTCTGGATCTTATCGTTTCTTAATGGTGAATCTCCATACCACAATACTTTCCATCTGAATTCTTGCTGTTTGGTTTCTGCAATCACATGAATTGCAATTTGCAAACGGCAAACTTACACTCTCCTCGCATTATTCCATTGCTAACACGCTATTTGGATCGAACAATCTCAGCTCCAATGTTTCCCTTTTTCCACTCGGCTATATTAAAGATGTAAGACGGCGTCCAATTTAATCGACCCTGTCAATTTCTTGTATTTCCATACAATCCAACAATATTGTGAATGTTTCACTTACCAGCAATTAGAGACAATTGGCATAACAAGTCCAAGGGAATTAGCAATCAGAAGCGTCCGATAAGACTGCTTCCAACAAGCAACAAGTCATCTGCATCACACACTCATATGAACATCAGATTCCAGAAGCATTAGAGAATTAAACAGCAATATAAAGACCAAAGCTTTTTCATATCAATCATCATACATGAAAAGTAAAGGGTCGGACACGAGAAATTATCACATACGATACAAAAAGGGTAGTGCTATGGCCTCTTTATCCGTCAGCTCCTACAATATATCTAAAGCTAAAACCATCAAAGAATGATGGCAACTAGACACACATTCTACTGTACTGTCTGAAAAATGAGTTTTCAGAGTGATAACTCAACACTTACTATACCTTCAGCGAGACATGAAGCTTCAAACTAAAAAATGACGGTGCTCAGTCAGTGTAAAGTTACCACCAGAAGATGATAGAATGTTATGTGTCATCAGTAGATGATAAGCAATATCAACGGAAGATGATAGAGGTCACACTGAGGGTGAGAAAGGTATCACTAGAAGGTGATATATCTCATGATGTAGGTATCACAAGAAGCCGATACATCTTCACCTGCTTGGGTCCTTGTCCAAACTCCTATGTCCTATGTTGGTAATGTTCCTTCATCAAAACAGATCAGCGCATTGACATCAGAGTTCGGACTTTTTGCTCCCTCTCAGCCTTCTTTGCGCTAGGCGTTCTCTTCAGCCTCTCAAGTTCTTTCCTGACCACTTTCTCCACCATGTCAATTGAGTTCATTAGTTTCTTCTGTGGTGTAAGAAATTCTCCTTCAGATGGCTGATTACTGACATCCCTTAAAATTTGTTGAACTTTACCAACAGAAGGGGGCAGACAGCGCTTGGTCCGAACAGCTGAATACGGAGTCATAGGTACTCCATGATCAAATTGAGCACCTGACACTGGAAGAGACTGACCAAGGGCATTCTGGTCTTGTGGAACTTGACCCTCAGTGTTTTCGCCATCGCTCTCAACCAAGCGAGCTCTTCTCCTTTCAATAGCCTAATCAAAAGTATACAAATTACACATGTCAACCACCTATTAATTATATGCTAAAGATTCAAAACAATTAAGAGACTATTCAAGAACATCAATGAATATCATTAACAATTCCACGACGGACTCAGAGGCAGAATCCTGAGCTAAATATTCCAGTTTATAACCGCCACTACTCAAATAATTTGAAGTTGCAAATAAAAACATGGGAAACAGAGGCAACAGTATACAAAAGTCTGAAGATTATAATTGAGCAGCATTCAAAGACCAAGAACCACAGCTCTTTTACAATCAACAGAAAATCATAAAAGTTACAATTCATATCAAATGTAAACAAGGAAAGAGACACGAGACGGGAAAAACTATCAGGGTTATCAAATGAGGTTTAAAAATTTGAACAAAATCAAGGAAAATGAAACAATTGAAGTATGCAAAGAGATACCAATAACATTCATCAATTGCTATATGTTCAACTTCTTACTGCAACAAACAGATACTCATCAATTGCTATAGATTTAGAATCAAGCCCAGGCCAATAGACAATCAGATTTACTCAAACATTTGGAAGAAGTTAATCATAAACCATGAAGACCAAAACATAAAGATGAAAAGATGTAAGATTTGGAGATTTTGATTGAGCAACGTTCAAAGGGGAAAACCAGATTCATAATTTAATTATTTGCATATTATATAACAAGTACACAAATTCCCTCAGGTAGCAGATCAAATGAGAATCCTATTAAGGCCAATAGAAAACAACTTTAAGTCAATATATTCTCAATGCATAACAAAGGGTTAAGAAAGTGAGCATACCCTAACCACAGCAGTGATATCCTGGAGAGGGGATCTTGGGTACCAATAAGGCAACACGCTGTTACTAGCTCGGCCCCCTCTCCGGTGAGAACTCCCGCTGGGCGTGTTCTCTCTGTCCACCGTTGACAACCTAAATGGGATCCGACCACGCCCAGTCACGGTTATGGGAGTCCTCAAACTGCTCCTTGGGAGCCCTCCACCACCAACAATTCCGGTAGTCCCAATCCCCAACCCTGTTGGTCGTCTCACCGGAGGAGAAAGGGCTAGAATAGTCTGCTCTGGCGGATCAATATAGACTCTCCGGTTGCCGGCCAGCCTCTGAGCATAGGCTGCGGCCAGGTCAACTGGTCTTGACAATCGATCTCTCGCTTCAGGCATTTTCACGATTCAACTGAAACGGCAAAGTGGAAACTTAGATCCAGAATTTTCACATGAAGTTCAAAAAGAAAGAAGACGGGAACTCTCACTTTCCCAGAAAACTGAACATTTTCTCGGGAAAATAAAAGAAAAGCATCGCAAGAAAACGCAAAATCCCCCGACCCAGGAAACACTTGTATCACAATCCATAAATTTTTATCACAGGTCTTCTTTTCCCAGAAAATCCATAAGAAAAAGTAAAAAGTTCCTGAGGATATTTCCACCAGTAGTGTGATTAAAATCTGCACAAAGAATATAAGAGCTCTCACTTTCCTAGAAAATATTCCATTTTCTCGGAAAATCAAGGGCAATCGTCTCAAGAAAACACGAAATTAACCTAACCCAGATGACATTCTTGTCAGAAATGACAAATCTAATAGCAACCCAGATGTGCGATTACAGGGTAATAATCGTTCAGAGAGAAGAAACCAGTGATTTTACCTGGATGTAAACTAGGGTTTCGGGAGGTTGCGTTTGGGAGCGTAGAGTGGGAGGTCTCTGATATGAAAGTTGAAGAAGAAGGAGAAGATTTGGCCCTGAGAGAGAGAGCGAATGGCAAATTTCAAACTGGAAAAATGGGCGGTAATATAAACCTACAAACAAAATCCCCAAAATTTTCACACGTGTTTGAAAACTTTCGCACGTGTTAGAAAAAAAATTCAGTTTTTCGTTTTTTGTATTTTGCCCCAAATGTCCAAATATGTTGAAAGTTCAAATTGTGTTAAGACCATCTCTAACCCTTGAACAAAACTTTGGGCTTTATTCCATGGGCTAGAAGTGGCCTTTAACTAGCTGACCTTGACCTCTGTTATTTTGAAGTCATATCTAGTATTCAAAGTTTGCCTCAATTTGGTACTGCTCTCGTAACCCACATCGAAACAGTGCTTTTACCCCTAGATGTCCAGTCAGCTGTTGCGCCCTTTCTTTTGTTCTTGCTTGCTCGCTGGGAATGAAATGTGCAGCATGGAATGATAGGTTTCTTTGTTAAGTAAGATACTATATATATACAAAATAGATAAACCTATAGATTCACACCCGATATCTTTCTAACTGAACGGAACCTCTTCTTGCGATGTGGAGACTAAGCAACATGTTCCACGTAGAAGGAGTCACAACCAGAGATCAAACAATACCCGCAAGAGACTTCAACAACAGGGGGCACACACATGTCACTTGTAATTGATGTGTGATTCCAATCTTTTATCATCGTAACTTATTTTGTTGGAACTCAAATTTTCTCCGAATAACTAAAAAGTGTGTCATGCCTGAATCTAACTGGGGTTCGCGGTGGTGGAGGAACTGGATCGGAAAAAAGAGGCTTCTAGTTATAAGATTGGTCGCTGAGCAAGTTAAGGAAGTGGGCGATATGTAGAGGTTAGAGCTTTTTGGGCTCAAGCTGCTTTGCTTCACCATGCACCCATATAATAATTTGTTGAAAACAGCTCATTCGCCTCGTATGGCAACTTTCAATCCCATCTTTAGCTTCGGGTGCGCATTTGCTTCAAAGAGTTTCCAAGTAACTATTTTACGTCTTTGAGCGCGAATCAAGAAGTTTTCCAATCATTGACTCAAACCCATTGGCATCAACTGAATTGGTACGAAAGTTGTAACATGAGAAAATCACAGAAAACAAAGAGGGCTAATGAGTATAAAGTGAGTGACAAGACCGGACTAAAAATTGCTAAGTTGGCCGCCAGAGAGGAAGCCAAACTGGCCTTTTAAGCGCAACTAAGGTAGTATGCGCCGGAGAAAGCCAAGGCTCCGGAACCACAAGAATCCTTAGTTAGAATGGAATTCCAACTCAGCACCTTTCCTTTTGAGATTTTGTAGATCACCGTTGTTTTCTTCCTTCATTTCATAGCTTTAGGAAGGAAGGTTTACTTTTGGGTCATTAATTTGCTGGGTTAAAACTTATAATTTTTAACCCAAAAAATTTAGGTTTTAACTAAGGAACAAAAAATTTAGCACATTTTGAAAAATCTCTATTCACTATTCGTAATAATTCGTTATACATTGGAAAGTAATTCGAAAATTGTTACAAACTCATTGCAATTTTAACTATATTTCTAAGGCTCTGAAACCTCACCGTTGGTACTCATCGTTCTAATTGTTTTTGCTTCAGGGCACAAGGGGGAGCCCTCGTTCTTGCCCAATTTCTGACTTTGGTACTCAAGATCATCGTCCTTTATCCGTATTTTGGTACTCATCTTTCTGATTGATTCTGTATTTGTTACGAGGAATACCATTATCCGTAACTCTATATATAGTTACTTTACGATCATGATTTTGTTCAGTATTTCACTCACAATTTACGTAGACGATTTTCATATGTATATGAACTCTCTACTGAGTTGAGGAAACCACCAAGACACACCAAGAATTCGAATTGACGTAGGCCGATGATTTTGGTTGCGTTGCAAACTGTCAATGCTGTTAATTAGTCTTCTGTAGTGATAACAGTAGCTTCAAGTGCAAGGCATGTTTCAATGATGTCGTATCATGTACTATGCTTCAAGCACACAGTTAATTAAGAACTGCAGCATATGGAAATGCATGAAAACAGAAAATATAAAACGTAAATACTCGAGTTCTGCCCTTGAAAGCGACCAAAATACAAATGAAACTTTAATTCTGAGAAATTGTGTACAAAAACTCCTATATTCTAAATAGAAGAAACAGCTTTCCAATTCCAGATACAATTGGAGGCTTTTTTTTTTTTTTCTGTAAATTAGGCTTGTAGGTACCTCATCTGTTCAATACAATCAAACACTGCCATATATAAACTACAATCTCTTCTCCTCCAAAGTATATGCATTGATGAAATGGACGGAGGAGCCCGAATGAAACATATTTCCCCGAAAATAAATTGCAAAGAGAAAGTGAAGTTCAATGAAATTAGGTGGAGGAGAAGCAGCAGCCACCCTTCCTAGCACCATCCCCATCTGGGCCGGGAACAATAATTGTTGTTCCTTTTAGTAGCCCTGAATCTCCACTGTTTAGGTCACCAGCAGCAAGCGGCTTCTTGCTCATTATCCGGTATATCTCCATTAAGATCATCAAAAATGCGGTTTCCACGTTGGTGGCCTCAAGAGCAGATGTTTCCATAAAAAATAGGTTTTCTCTTTGAGCAAACTCCTGTGCATCCTCAATTGGCACTGCTCGAAGACTCCCCAAGTCACATTTGTTGCCAATGAGCATTATAACGATGTTCTTATCAGCATGCCCCCTCAATTCCTCCAACCACCGTGCCATGTGATCAAACGATTGACGCTTAGTCATGTCATAAACCAACATTGCTCCTACTGCTCCCCGGTAGTATGCGCTCGTGACTGCTCTGTACCTGAAGAGAGACTAAAGCGGATGAGTTTAGGAGTCTATGACATTGCAAGCAAAATCGAAATCCCACGGAAATATATAAACACAAACTATGCTTTCAAATATTGGAAATCAGCACAGTATCAAAGAAACCGAAAAACAAAAGCGTCTAAGTTTTATTTATTTTTCAAGTTCTTATCCCTTTCATTGCCAAAGCAGCTTCAGCCATCAAGAATTCCGTAACTTTCACTGAATCATAAGGTATGTTCATATTCATTTGCTAGATGTCATTTATCTTCCTTCATAGGAGATAAGCAATAAATATGTTTCCACCTCGAAATCCAGTCACACCTGATCGTAACAACAAATCGATCCTAGATAAGCAAACAACGATATATAACCCAGTGAGATCATTCCTATTTTTCATACCAGGCATTAGATCAAATCTTTACAAATCTGTGATCATTGAACACCGTATTTTCTTGGTCAATCGTAATTTTGTTTAAGAAAATTTAAGGTTACAATTGAACAGAAAATCCGAAAACAAACACTATTGGATCCTTATTATATTCCTGAATTGTTACCATCCATTTAACAAGCATGCATACATTATGATCTATAAACAATAATCACATAACAGTTTTTTCATCATCATCACCATCATCATCATCTAAAGTAAAATATAAGGTAAATAAGATCGTGTGATTGTAACAAAAAAAATGATCATTAAGGCATGCAATGTCGAACCTTTCTTGGCCAGCTGTGTCCCAAATCTGCGCCTTGACGGTCTTGTGATCGAGAACAAGGGTTTTCGTCTGAAACTCAACCCCGATAGTGGCTTTTGAGTCCACACTGAATTCATTCCTAGCAAACCGCGCGAGCAGCTGTGTTTTCCCCACCGCCGAATCTCCAATCAACACGACTTTGAACACATAATCAATCTTCTGATTGTAATCTCCGTATAAATTCGACATCCTGGCCACGACCGGACCCCAAGCCGATTGATTCTCAACCCCACAATCTGGAACATAAAATACCAAAATTACATGAAATAATGATGGTAAATTTTTCAGATCAATCATGTGGGTACATTTTATTAGATCGACTAGAAGATTAAAAGCTTGTGCTGCCTGCAGCGGCCGGGGTTGGGGTAGGGTTCGGGAAATTAGAGAAAGAGAGGGGGAGAGAATGGGAATTGTGGTAAAATTAGGGTTTGAGAGGAAGAGGAGTCTGTTGGAGAAAGAGAGGGAAAGAGGAGTTAGAGGCGGGGAAACCTTCGGCTAGTGCGGGTCCCATTAACGGTTTTTCAAGTTCACTGCGAAAACAGTTTTTTTGGTGTACTTGCTGGTACAATAGTTTTGGTACACATGGTGGGATCCCGATCCTTAGTTCGGGAGACTTTTTGCTGTCAACATAGATTCTTGGAGTGGCTTTTTGGTAAAGCGGGAGACTATACAGTCCGTGCTCTACAAATTGCAAGTTTGGCAACCTATGTAGTAAGTTCTACTAGTGAAACATCTCAAAACTATGATCACCCTTGGTATCTATTGAATTGGATAACAGATCGATAATGTATATCAAAGTTATAAATGATGGAAAATTTTCAAATATTTTAAGTGATGATTTGTGGTGAAATGATAAGTATGGAGCCAAAAATAATCAAGAAAATTATGGAGGTGACATATGGACTTTTGGGTTAAAAAGATAAAATTACTCTCGAGACACACTGGGATTCTCATGCACAAACAGCAGACAATAACGGCTCAATCAAGGTCAAAGGAGATCAAAATGATATTCTTTCAAACCTTATCATCATTCCTCATCAAATCTTCACCCATAAGGTAACTCCCAATCTTTCTTTTCAAATTGGAATTAATTGTCAAAATTAATTGATTAATTACCTAATTAATTGATTAATTCCAAATTAATTGCAAGATATTATTTTACATGATATCTTGCAATCAATCCCACAAATAAACCAAATGTGCTGGTCCCAATTCTCCTAATAGGGCCGGCCACACCCCTATATATAGCCACTTATTTTCTCCAAAACCCAAGTCCAATTCTTCTCCTAAAATTCTCTAAACACTTTCTCCCTCAAATTCTAACTTTGGCATCAGAGGTTCTTTGGCCAAAGGCCCTCCATTCAACGTGGGCGCATGAGACTCTTGGTCTTGACCTTAGGTATTGCTTGTTTTGCAGGTGCATTCTCGTCCAAAAAGAAGAAGGCGGAAATTTGCATCCACAAATTGGTGTTTTCATTGAGAGTTTGATTCACATGCTTAAAGAAGACTCTCGCATTCAACGTTTCTAATTTCTCGTTCATTTGTAGATTTTTCGTACATTCTTATTCCTAGAATTTTTATAAAATTCTTTGAATAAATGCAAAAGAAAAGTACAATGACTAGAGATTCAGAAACCACGACAAACGAAACTTCCAACGTTTAAGAATTTGGACCACGACGATCTACGAGGCTTAAAACAATGACGAGTGAAGCGACACCACCCCCTCGGGCCACCACCGTGGTAGCAGCAACCCTCAACGATCCCACTGCTTAGGGTGAGCATGCCACCTCACATCAACAATCCCAAACGTCAGCAGCCGAAGCTTGGCACGCAAAGGCCCACACCACGAAGCATTGCCAAGCCCAGGCCCTTGCAGCACAGTAGCCCAAGCCGTGTTGTGGAAAAAGCAAGCTCAGCGCCCACACGCACCGCACGCAGAGCAGTCTACGCCAGTGACCCGACCTGCCATGCAGCCCAATCCAGCCCACTTCTGTGGCCTTCCAAGCAACCCAAACTGGTCCAAGATCGGTTCAACCCGCAGACTTCAGATTTTTGGGCCAACGATTGAACCGAGGGCATTTTCACCTCATTTCTTCGCATATTTAACATTTCCCAACTCAAATCTTTCGTCCAGAGTTCAGTACACTTCTACCAACTATGGGGAAACCTACTATCCTAGCCTTTCCATCCTGCATGGCGAATAACACTTGTCCCAACAAGTCATAGAGTTAACAAGTGCCCTCGCGCAACAGACGACCTTAGTGAATCATCTTTTGCAACATGTCTCAGATGAAGTGTCCTGAAGCAGGACAATGGTAGACGACGAACCTCTCCAGCAGCATCCCGATAAGCAGCCCTGCAACCGGCCACGATCTGATCGTTCTAGCATTTTACGCTTTTGCCTAGGTCCTCTAGATAGCATATATTCTCGTCTTAACGAGCAGATGAGTGTGTACTCCTCATCAAGCCCACGACGAGCATACGTTCACGGTTAAGGCCACACTTCAATTATCAACATGGATAACCTTCCAGGCGAAGTGTTTATTCATAACTAAGTTCACAAGGAGCATTTTTCACCTCACATCAAAGTAGACAGCATAGTCGATGGAGAGAAGCAATCACTCAATCTGACTCAAGTTCAACCAACAGCCCGCTTACTTGCCAAGAATGTGCCACATTACACCGCATCCGTAACATAGACAAGCCGAGCATAGGGAAGAGCTGCCTAGACTAATAGGTCACGATCGGTGACAACCAAAAGTTCCACTAGCCCCAGCAGAGGCAAATTCAAGAAGAAGTTGAGAGGTTCCTAACTGAACGATTACGTAATTTCCAACGCAGTGAGGCTACTAACGATGCATTTCGACGAGACATGACCAACATAAGCAGGTCACCATTCACGGATGAGTTCGAGATGACAGATCCACCTCACAGGTTCACTATGCCTCACTTCATTCTGTAAAAGGGAGATGAAGATCCGAATCGACATCTCAAGCACTACCGTAGTACCATGATCCTCTGCAGGGACAATGACACGCTTATGTTCAAAAATTTTGCCACAACTTTACAAGGCGAAGCGCAAGACTAATTTCACATCCTACCGCCGTAATCGATCTGAAGTTTCAAAGAACTTTCCTTAGTTTTCACTAAGGAGTATTCGTTTAATGGCTCAATCAAAAGGACATCTAACCATCTCTTTAGCATCGTAAAAGACCTTTAGGAGACAATTTGCGACTATGTCAAGAGGTTCAAAGCGGATAAGGCCAAGATTGTTGGCTGGAACACAGACATAACAATGGCAAAATTCAAAAATGGGCTTCCTACCGAACACCTTTTATTCAGAAAATTGATCATGGGAGAAAAACTGACCCTGGTAGCTTCGTATGCTTTGGCGGAGAAACGTACTATGGGACAAGGCCAAGCAGTCTAACAAAAATAAGTCAGAAAAGAAACGCATGGAATGTTCCTTGACCAGAGAAAACTTAGCTCCCGAAACATTCACCAAGTTCACAGTTCAATCGGCCAAATTCTTCGTAAGCTCAAGAACGAACCTTGGTTCAAACTGCCGCCACCCATGAAGGGCAATCTTACGAGGCTACATCATACAAAGTATTTCGTATTCCATCAAGGACCAGGCAACACTACTAACAACTACCTGAAGTGGAAGTAGTACCTTGAGAAGTTGACAAATAAGGGTGGGTGTGACGAATATCTTGACAGGTCAACGACTAAGCCTACACAAGCAGGGGAAGTTTCCATCACCCCGTTAGGGCTTTTCCAAATAAGTTCGAAGTCTCAATCAGCTCGATGAACAAGGCCTCACAAGCCGATATTTATCCAATTTTTTATGCAATTTCTACCTTCCAGCACAGTTGATCCATTTCTTTATTCTCAATAAAGATTCAAGAAGTTATTCATAGGCCTGGATTAACTGCTGTTTACAACAACTGCTCAAACCTATGTCTAGATCTGTTTTCCAGTGCGAGAAGATAAACTAATTGCTCTCCAGTGCGAGAAGGTTAACTAATTCCTCGACATCCATATGGGTCTGCTCTTCAGTGCTAGATGATAAACTATTGCTCTCCAATGCAAGATGGTAAACCAATTCCCCAACACCCATATAGGTTTGCTCTCTAGTGTGAGAAGATAAACTAATTGCTCTCTAATGTGAAAGGGTAAACCAATTCCCCGACGCCCATTTAGGTATGTCTCCAGTGCGAGAGGATAAACTAGTTGCTCTCAAGTGCAAGAGGGTAAACTAATTCCCCGACACTCATCCGGGTCTGCTTTCCAGTGCAAGAGGATAAACTAATTGCTCCCTAATGCAAGAGGGTAAACCAATTCCCCAACACCCATATGGGTCAGCTCTCTAGTACAAAAGGATAAACTAATTGCTTTCTAGTGCAAGAGGGTAAACTAATTCCCCAACACCCATCTGAGTCTGCTCTCCAATGCGAGATGATAAACTAATTGCTCTTCTATGCGAGAGGGTAAACTAATTCCCCGACACCCATCCAGGTCTGCTCTCCAGTGTGAGAGGATAAACTAGTTGTTCACCAGTGCAAGAAGGCCACACAACTCAAAAGATCAAATACTCGAAGACCAGCTAAGCAGCAAATGGTCAAGGGGAAGCAGCCACTTCGCACTCAACAGTTTGCTCATCCTACACTTCATCTTCAACAGCTCTGATCTTAGCAGCTCCGTCCTTGATTGGGATAAACTAGTTGCTAACCAGTGCAAAAAGGCCACATAACTCAAAAGATCGAATACTCGAAGACCAGCTAAGCAGCAAATGGTCAAGGGGCAGTAGCCACTTCACACTCAATAGTTCGCTCATCTTACATTTCATCTTCAACAACTCTAATCTTAGCAGTTCCGTTCTTGATTGCTCTATCTAAGGTAGTTGTGAAATTAAACTCAAGCAGTTTCCTCATTCTTGGCAAGCAGCCCAGAGGTGGCAACCCAAATCGTGGCCCATGCCACGCCACTTCCTTGGCCCATACCGAGCCAGCCCTTGGCTTCAGTCCAGCCGAACAGCACAAGCTGTGGCCCCTGCCATACCATATCATCTACCCATGCTAAGTCGACTTCTATTCCCTGCTAGCCGATGTGTCGCACCACCCTGACGGCTGCCCCATGGCAGCACCACCTGCAAAAAAGACAAAGAAATCAATGGAAGACGGTTCTTTGCATGGACAAGCAAAGAAGAGTGATAGAGGAGGGGGAACAAATTTCCTCTAGCTTTCTTTCTTTCTTGTAGAGATAAATAATTTCCCTCCGAAGTTGATTTAATCCCGTAGTTAAGGTAGGTTTAAATAAGCT